CTAATCATTATGAGGTTTTTGCGGTATAAACTTTAACCCTACGAACATAACAGACAAGAAAAAAAACATGGAGATGGCTAAGCCTAGGGCACACTCCCATAGCTCGACACCGTCTAAGGCATACGTTTTGAGAGTGTCTTTGCCTGAGATAGTCAGATTTGTACAGTTGTATGTGCTGCAGTGGAACTCCAGATCATTAATTCCTATGATGCACAGCGCCTGGTAGCTCCAGCGGAGGTAAGATGCTTTAGAAATCCATCTGGTTTCTGTGTAAATGAAAAGAACAATGCAAAATAGTCAGAGCCACCGACGCAATGAAAGTATTAGGTTTGCGAAAAAAGAAAGGGGGGGGGGGGTGTGAAGAGGATCTCAGCCCTCTAACGTTTTATGAGGGTGGGGGAGGGGAAGCTCAAGGGGCCTAAACTGCGTTTAAGTGCTTAAAAATAATAATAATAGGAGTTTATTTATGACGGTAGCCTTTTTCATGCAGCTTTTCCAGCACTACGTTCGTCTGCTAATCAAAAAGTCGAGATGCCGGACTGTTTTCCAGAAATGGCTTACGCTCACAGATCGACCCAGCCTCGAGTGAGTACCAGGTGCAATCCTTGAAAGGGTCCTTTGCTTTACTTTTTAATAATGAGTTGAGTGACAAATAAACATACCAGTATATTCCAAATCAGATAAATAATAATAGTAAGGTATGTAATGATAAAAAAAAAAAAATCAAGACAAACACTAATGCCATTTCTGCTGGTGATATCCAACCCCAAGACGTGTCGTTATACACACCTATTTGGGCAGTAAATTTGAAGATGGGAGGACTGCTAGACGTTCGCCTGCGAATCAGAAGGTCGTGGGTTCGCTCCCTGGCGGAGCCGGAATTTTTTCAGAAATGATCTTTGCCCCCAGGTGGACCCAGCCTTGAGTGGGTACCAGGTGCAGTCCTAGGAAGTAAAGGCGACCAGCGTGATGCTGACGAATCACCCATCTCGTGCCGTTGGTCTATAAAATATAGGTCTACCCCTATTTAACCAATACGCATGAAAGGCGCGGAAAAGTGTCCATTACTTTACTTTACTCTCTAGTTATTATTCTCAGAAGTGACCAACAGAGAGAAACTAAACAGGCACTGCAATGGAAAATTGAGGAAACTGGAACTTTCAACAAACCCTTAGGCAAAATTTTATGAGAGAAGCCAAAGGGATTGCTGGAGTGGAATTCATCGATGATATCAAAATGATTGCACGGGGTAGATTGATTCAGAGAAAGATACTGCGAGCCCTATGTGACATATGTCGCAACAGGACACAAATGTTGAATTAAAAATTGACATCACAGCACTCGGGACACCCCCCCCCCCATAAGCGCTCTGTACCCATCTTCAGCAGCAAGCGAAGAGTTAAAATTCTAATAAAACTAGTAACCCAACAGGACAATGAATGAATTTAATCCAAAACCATCCCGTTATATTGTGGAACGCAACTCTTCGGTAAAGCCCGGGCAGATTGTGGAGACGACAAACTAGTTCTGAGACTAAAGTTACCAAGCCTGGGTTTATTTTGTCTAACCAATATGCAACCATTATATAAGAATAGTGGTCTCCAACCTGGGTGACGCCCTTTTCCACCCTCCTAGGTGGCGTGAGGAAGCTCTAATAAGGGCGTCGAGCATTTTTGAAAATAAGTTGATTTGTACTAGTTAAAATGCATAGTACTAACTTAATTATTTTAATGCAATAACAAATTTAAAAAAAAATTGTTTTTCTTTTTTTGGCAAACTATTATTAAAACAAAAATCCAAAGACTTTTTCGTTTTAATGAGCAGTTTGTACATCTACTCTTAAAAATCTAATTAATTTGATAAAATCTGCATTTAATTATAGATTAAGAACACATTTCTGCACTTTGTGATTCCATTTTGTTATTGGGAAAAAAGGGGGAGGGGGATGAAGTCGTGGAAACTGGTTATTTAATTGATTAGAAAAACGGGTTACTGTATTTTATTTTTTTATTTTCATTTTTTTTAATTATTTTGGCTCTCAGGTCGACCCAGCTTGAAATGGGCATTAGGTAAAGCCATGGAAAGTAAAGGTGGTCGGCGTGATGTTGACCACATTACCCATCGGGGTCCATACAAACATAAGTCTTGTCTTTTATTACCTATGCATTTTTGGCTAAAAATACAATCTTATCTAGCTACTTGCTTACAAAGAAACACTTACTACATATAATACTTTTGAGGTTGATGACGAAACCGGCTTCTAAAATGAACAAAGAGAAGACGTAAAATGTTTTGTCTTTCTTTGCTCAATGCTCTTATAAGTGTCGCAGGCACGGCTGATGATCGGTTTCTGTTATAGTGCGGGCTCGTTAGCTTGATGCGCGGGGATACTGTTGAATGTCAGCAAGTTGTTAACTCCATCTATTCATCAGCTTCTTGGCCTTCCTCTACTTCTTCATGTTTCTCTAGCCAGACCGTATTCTATAACACCTAATACAAGTTCCTGATAGAGCAGGGAAAGTATTCGTTGTTCAGTGTCGGCGTATGCCATTGCTTTCAGCGCCGTCAAACCTTTCCTGGCTCTATCTTCGTCTTCTTCTTCCTCTTCTTCCTCTTCTTCCTCTCCCTCTTCCTCTCCCTCTTCCTCTCCCTCTTCCTCTCCCTCTTCCTCTCCCTCTTCCTCTCCCTCTTCCTCTCCCTCTTCCTCTCCCTGCTGCTGCTTCTGCTGCTGCTTCTGCTGCTGCTTCTGCTTCTGCTGCTGCTTCTGCTGCTGCTTCTGCTGCTGCTTCTGCTGCTGCTGCTGCTGCTTCTTCTTCTTCTTCTTCTTCTTCTTCTTCTTCTTCTTCTTCTTCTTCTTCTTCTTCTTCTTCTTCTTCTTCTTCTTCTTCTTCTTCTTCTTCGCGTTCACGAGCTGTAAACTCTGGCAGAAAGTTCTGGTTGTTCTTCCACTTCCGGACTGCAGTCCTGTTCCAGAACCTGAGTGTGGCGTGTCCATCCATTTTACAGATCTGACTCATTTGTATGGAGACTGCTATTTCCTTGCCTCTCCGGTAGATGCACTCCGACTTTGAAGGACGTTTTTCAGTTAGTCGACTCTTACGACATGCTTTTGGGTAGGCAGTGGGTCTCTTCTTGTTTTCCCTATAACAGGGTCCCGAAACCCACACGGGGAGCTCTAACTATGATATTGTCTACGTGATTCTTGTGACATATAAAGCATACAAACAAAAGGGGACGCAAAGAAGCACTTACCATATATCATACTGTTGAGGTTGATGAAGAAACCGGCTCCCATGATGAACAAAGAGAAAATAATTTGGGCCAACATGCTGGAGATTTGGTAGGTTGGCATGATGACCGCCGACATCATGGCCAGAGATCGGGATGTGAATACGGAGACAGACACGAAGAGGTAGAACTGAAGATGGTCAGATCATAAACAAAAGCAGCTAATTATGAACAGTCTACCAGCATCAATGTAAGTTCTTTAGTTCGCTTTAAACAAATATTTATATCTGTAATGTTGTCTCTAGTATGAACTTCACTGTCTGTTGTAAATCATTCGGTGACCCGTAAAGTTAGGCTTCCACCGATTTGTCTTTTGGCTAGAAGTTTTGCTTTGATATGTTGTGTTTGGGACAGTCTTGGAGGACGTGATATGTTGTTTCGAGTGATAATCCACATGTACGCATGGCTGATTCGCCTATCTTACATTTTATATTCATGTGGCTGCGAAGTCAACTGTGTCCTGTTCTAAGGCGTAGAATAATGACTTTGTTGACTTTTTGATTGATTTGATTATTCTCTTTTTTCTGCTGATAACAGACTGTTACGCCAGGTTGTTCTTCGTGTAGTTAATACATTAATGTAAGTGTTTTTTGTTTCTTTTGACTACATTTTTACTAAACGGACATACCACTTCATTATGTCGTTCAATGTAATTCAGACACGGTCTTGTTCGGTCTTTGTATCTCACGCTGGTATTCCTGACGCTTCCGTTCTGGTGTTATAGAACAGTTTGGGAAGCACTGCTCTAGAGTGATGCTCTTTCTGTTTCCTAATAATATTGTTTTAATGTATCTACATGTTTATGACTCTAAGTCCCAATCGTGTGGGTTATGGAAAAGGCTAAGGGATGTTCTATTTAAAAAGAAATTTAAACTAAGGTACAGGTACTCACTGTCTAAAACAGATATCAGTACTTAGTATCAAAGTGTTTAATGCACACACATACACACACACAAAAAAAAAAAGGCACGGGCTCGACAGATGATAGATTATGAACGTATGAACGTGTTTCACCGAACTTCGACGAATCAGGGTTTGACTTCCACAGTTGGCGCTTGGGAAAGTGGCAAATCTATGTCACGGGAACAGATTGAACTCTCACTAAGGAATATTCCAGAAGATAGCAGCGAATGCGCATATCAGCTACAGCCAACCGTTATTTTTGGGACATCACACACACACACACGCACACATATACACACATACCACGCACATATACACACATACCACACACACACAGATGCGTACACACACATCTCTCATATACACACATGTACACATACTGCTGCTGACATTTCACGCACACTCACACACACATACTACACACTTATACACACATACCACACACACAGATGCGTACACGCACATCTCTCATATACACATATGTACATATACTGCTGCTGACATTTCAGGCACACTCACACACACACACACACACACACACACACACACACACACACACACACACACATGGACAACAAGCATACTAAAGGCAATAGAAACGTGTTAAAACCGGAAAGCTCATGTCAAAACACGCGAGTGAGTAAGAGAGCGACATTCAACCCCACCAGGACCGCACAGCAAGCGACAAACACTCGTGACACAAAGTGCTACTATTAGTATCCGAATCACCCAAGTAAATGTCTCAAAATCCCCCGCTAAACCGCTACGTTATATTAGGGCACCCAACTAAAGCTGTGGTAGAGCTTTGA